TAAGTTTGTCCTCCTTGTAATATTTGAGAGGCAGAAGTAACGGTAGGAGAAATGATCTCATGGTATGGTATTGTTCTTTTAACACAACACAAATACCAATTATCTCGTATAAAACTTTCTGCAACTCTGTATGACATGAAGATGTTTTCATTCTTGAAGGTATGCTAAAAATACCAATTGTAACGGATCTCCAAAACTAAAGCCTGATTTACATGGGTTAAATAGCTTGATCCAGTAGAAGAGTCAAGATATTTTTTTAAAATTAAAACCAAACAGTTATGGCATTACAGATAAATATATATCTTCCACTCTTTTCTTGCAATTATCATTTTTGATGGGTTGTATAAATTGTTTTCCTAAAATCATCAACGAAAGTTCTAATTATTTGGAAAATATTGTTATTTTCTTAACCCTCCATGTATGGTGTACATCTTTTAAAATGTTCATAAATATCAAATATAATTAACATAAATTTTGTTTAAACAGATTATTGAGTGGTTTTAGCGACCATAGTTTGCGGTTTACTCGAGCTTCTCTTCCAATATGACTCATTATTTAGTTCCTTTATTTTTAAGAAAAAATTGAACGTAAATTTTAACATATCCTAATCGAGAGGGAGTCCCAACGAATAGGTTACTTTGGTTTTGGAAGGGATAAAAGCTTATAAATCCACCAATCACTATCAAGAACGATCCCTCTCCTTCTTAAAATTACTCACCTAACTAACACATTTTCGCTTTAATTATATCCCAACACATTACAAGAAAAAAAAATTAAATTAATATAAAATAAGTATTTAATATAATAAAAATTTTAATTTTGAAATATAAAACTTGGAAAAAGTTAATCATGATAATTCTTTCTGTATGTAATAAAAAGGACATCAGAAAAAAAACTTTAACAGCAAAGAATTTAAAAAAATTAAAATTCCTAAAGTTCTTTTAATTAAGAATAGGAAAAAAGTTGACGTTTATAACACATATTATAAAAAAAAACACCGTAATATGTAGTAAGTATTATATAGAGAGTAAAAGGGTCTCTTGAAAATATGAAAACTATTCTGTTCGCATTACATTCGCATACTTGAAAGGCAGGGCGGAGCTTAGAATCCGGTAGAAACGCCTCTTGCACTTTATTCCTGACGTTTATAAAGACGAAATTCGAACGAAACGTGGGCCGAACTGATAAAAGCGCCCGGAGGCAATAGGGCTCCGATTCAACGGTCTGCCAGTCTGTTCCTGGTGAAATCCTGCTTTGGACGTGCATCCCTACATCAGGAACGACATTTGATAATCACACAAATCCTATTTTAAAAAAGAATTTCAATCCAAAAGGACATCATTTTTCTTCAAATTTCGTTAAAACGCGCATTAAAATAATCATCGAACAAAAAAAAGTTTTTTTTTTAAACAAGTAAAATGGATTTTACAAGTTATTTGAGTGCTATTTTTTTGATGGAAAACTTTTCGTGAGCTCGATGAAAATAATAAGTTTTTTTAGTTAAAGTTAAAACGGGTTATTTCTTTCTTGGGAAGTTATTTTTCGTTATTTTTTGAATCGGTTTTAAAAATGACTTTGGAACTGAGTGCGCATCCGGCAATGCCATTAGACTATAGCAGTGGTATTCGGGAATCTTCAAGAAGTCCTGTCAACATTTCTGATGGTCCAGTTAGCCCGCCGGGACATAGCGCTTTCAAAGTTGTTACACCTAAAGGAAGAGACGGTAAGATTTATTTAAATTAATAAAATTTTTCTTGTATGATCATGATTTCATAAAAATTTCTTCTAAAATATATAAAGCAATAGATAACTTTTCTTGGTTAAATTTATTATTGACTTGGAAAAGAAAGTGTTTGAAAAAATGAACCAATCAGAAAACGATGAGATTCATTAAGATACTTGTATGTCTTGTATGTTCGTGTTATACATACGAAAATAGTTATGTTAAAAAGTTGTTTATCATTTCCCTTAAAATGACGGTTATTGTCTGTATTTCTGTGTGGGATGGTGTTGAATTTGTTCTGGAAAAAAGCAGTTTAGGTTGGGTTTTTAAGAACTCGATATTTTTAAAATAAAATTTTAAAAACAAAAAGCCAAATTAAGTTAGAACTGGTTTCGATTCAACTTTCAAGTATTTTTATATCGAACATCTTCTCAGAATTATACGAGGTAAGATAAAAAAATTACACTTCAATTTAAACATTTATTTCTTAAAATCTAGTTAATAAAAAAAGTGACAACATTTGACATCCACAAGTTAGTCCAATTAATATTTTATAAAACTTTAGACACTTTAGACACAAACGTAGTAATAAATGATACTTTATTATTCAGAGGCGATTCATCTTTACCAATCTATATGTAAGAACTTGAGACTTCATCCCAGTCATTTAGGTATTTCTTTGATGAAACATTGTTTTCAAAAGTTGTTGTTAAAGGTCGAATATTTGTGGTGAAAAAAATAATGTTAATATTATTTTATAACTCAAAAAAATTATTTGAAAAACTAGAACCAAGGCGGAATTGCCTAAAACAGTGTTTGCCTATGAAATGACACTAAAAAATGTTGTGCTATATATTTTGGATATACATCTCTCAATTTCATTCTTTAGACACAATTGGAAGTAACTATTCTAAAGTGTGTTATAGAAAAGATAGAATTATGTAATTCTTCTGGATATGTTGTTAAAAACCAGCTCGTACGGATATTTCAACAGTGATTTAGAAACATAACAATCTAGTGACTCCAGTATCCGGTTTTGTTGGTACATCATCATTAATATCTCAATAATTTGCTAAAAAATTGAAGAAAATAGTTAAAATTGATACACATATGTGGTTGAGGAACATGACAGAAGAACACAAAAAAAGAAAAATTATACAGCATATTCATTGTGTCAAGTGGAGGCTAGAACTAAGAAAAATGCTTTATACTACTATAGATATTACTGGTTATAACTTAATTTTAATTTTCCATTCTGCCATTAAGCTTTCAATACACAGAAAGTTTATCAGAAAAAGAAAGAAAATTTAGCTTGTTTACTAAAGTTGAACCAAATGATTTTAAACTGCTTATCTGCACCCTGTAGTGGTTTACATCTGCTTGGCCAACAAAGAGACTCTATTAAATTCTTTGTATATGTTTGTCATATTAATGTAATAGTAGTTCAAGGAAACAAGATTAGGCCAGAAAAAACTAANGTAAATTACGGGGCGGTATTTAAATTACGGGGTATTATTTTTCTGGTATTTAAAAACAAATAATTATGTTTATTCGTTATTTTTTTCTGATTACAAAAATGTAGGGTTCGATAGGTCTATTTTTTATTGTTTTAGAATAAATCTAAAAATAAACTTTTTTTATAAAATTTCTAAACGCCGCCGAAATTTAGTGTCGTCGAAGAAATGAAATTTACAGTTTCCTGTAAATTACGGAGCGGTATTTAAATTACGGGGTATTATTTTTCTGGTATTTAAAAACAAATAATTATGTTTATTCGTTATTTTTTTCTGATTACAAAAATGTAGGGTTCGATAGGTCTATTTTTTATTGTTTTAGAATAAATCTAAAAATAAACTGTTTTTATAAAATTTCTAAACGCCGCCGAAATCTAGTGTCGTCGAAGAAATGAAATTTACAGTTTCCTGTAAATTACGGGGCGGTATTTAAATTACGGGGTATTATTTTTCTGCTATTTAAAAACAAATAATTATGTTTATTACACCAACTGTTAACACGGAAATATTTAATGGATTGCATTGTTTTGGATTGGAGAAATATGTTTCTTTAATTTTTAGTTATAGTACCGTAATTTACAGGAAACTGTAAATTTAATTTCTTCGACGACACTAAAATAAAAGTTTATTTTTAGCTTTATTCTAAAACAATAAGAAATAGAAAAACAATGTTAAGGTTTTCGACATTGGAATTTATTTAAAACTTTATTTAAAAAAAAAAATTGAGACATGTAAGCTACTTTTTTTCTAACTCGTATAGTTTCCGAGATAGCCTATTCGGATATCGAATTTGAATCACCCTGTATACATTAAATTGCTACTAATAAAACAGAAATGTGAACATTTAGTCAAAGATGGACACTTCTAATGAAAAATATGCAGGACAAGTGTAAAGATTTACGAGATGTTGATTTTTTTCTTAAAAAAGTTTGTTGATCAAAATGATGAAAGATATAAATCCATGATTTTTTTTTTGATGATGTGTGATAAGAAAATTTTAAGTTTTTAATCCATGATAAATTTATAGTGAAACGTAAATAATAGTGAATCATATATGTATTGTGTATAAGATCGAGAATTAAAGGCCAACTTTTTTTGCGAAACGATTAATAAAAAGTGACTCTGATTTTTTAATTATTTTAACTAAGATTTAATTTTTTCCATAGATTTAATCTTATCGAAAAATAAATCATATCAATCAAATACTTTTTCGTGTAAATATTACATTTTATTATTTATATTTTGGCTTAGCGAAATATCTACAAAGTGATGAATTGTATTTTATTTGTTCTGATTTATTTTATTAGAAATCGATCAAATTACGGTATGAAAATGGAATTTTTTTTTAAATTAAAAATTTTTTTATAGTTGACTTCAAAAAAATTGAAATAAATGAAAGCGGCACCTCCCTTTTTGGAAAAAGGATTGCCACAATTACTGCCCAGTTAAGCTTCGGTCTGACTTCAAAGGATTTATCTGGGCTGGTTAACTTTCGGAACAATTAAGGCACAAAACGTAGACATACTAAATTGTTTAAATGCTTAGTCATTATATTAATTAAAGTACTGGGTGGAGCGCGTGGTTTTAAGTTATCTAAAAAAAAACTTTAAATAATAAGGGAAAAAAAAACTTTTTAATAAAAAAGATTTTCGCCAAAGACAATAATTCTTCATCAAACAAAATAAAACAATTACTTTTCACAAATGAATGATGGCATGCAATATATTTCGAAAAATAACCAGCCAGGATTTTCCGTAAAACGCGTTTGAAATTATCAACGGTATTTTGTGAACTGCACGCGAATTTTTCCGCGAACGATTTTATGGGATTTGCTAATCGCTGTGGATTACGCCAGGCAGAGTGTAATAAATTTTCACACAGAGTTTGAACGTTGAACGCAACCGGGGAGGGCGACCAGAAACGAAGAGGGAAAATTAATTATTTTTTCGTCAATTTCAATTAGTGCCAACTAAACGCAATCTAGTTGCCGACTTCAAACGGAATTCAATATAGAAATCGAATTATTGTCCCTATACGGGAAAACCCCTCTTTTTTGAGTGAAACTGGTTTGTTTTTTTTTACACTTTTTTAATGACTTCATTTTCTTCTTTGATTCAAAAAAAACCAGTAATAATAATTTAAAAAATTCATAAAACCCTAAAAAATTCACAACCTAAAATGTAATTGTTTTCTTTGATCTTGTTTTACCGACGGTTGGTCAACTTAAATATTACATGAATCGTATCTGTTGTGATACCGTTAATAGTCTTAGGGGGACGTAGTTGACGTTTACAGGGTGTATAATCCTCTTAGTGCCCCACGACGAAGAAAAGAACCACTTAACGTTCGTCCAAAAGAATCAATGCACATAAATAATTTTCAACTCATCGAGCACCACAACTACAAAAGCTTACTTTTCTCGTAGTAATACTTTTTCAGCAAACTCCCAAGCTTCCGGTAATTATGATTTCGTATCTGGTAATTCCGAGTGAATCCATTGGGAACGGTCTCGGAAAACCTTCGAAACTAGAGTCGATATTGGATTTATAACTTGGGAGATTTTACCAACTTGCAATATCATGAGATTTAAACATAACTTTTATAAAACATCAATTGAAAAATGTTTTAAAACTTTATTTTATTTAATTTTTAATATTACATCTAAACGTAAATCTGAATCCACTCAAAAAAAACAATAAATAAAATAAAATAAAGTAACGATAAGTACGTTTTCATCGGATGAGGACAATATGTTTTGGAAGAACAAGAAATCAACATGTGTGGGGGCTCTTTGCATCCAGTAGTACGGTTTCTTATGTACGCTTCCATCATCATTAATAATTGTAACGTACACCGAGCAGATGTTAATTCGTTGACCCAGCAGCGCTTGGAAGAAATGAATATTATAGGAAGAGCGTCATAAAGTACAGTTGAAAAAAAGTAAAAAACGAGAAATAGTGTTTGGTAAACATGTGGCAAACACTCAGATTTATTTTTAATTGTTAATTACTATATTGTCTTTTTTTATTTCTTTTTTCCTTCTTCATGGATGACGCACAAAGATTTTTATATTTTTTATTTTCATTTGTTCGAGAAGAGAAAGGAAACAAATGTGTTTAAAAAGCTTTAGATAATGCGAGCATTATGATTTAAACGGTGCTGTTTCATACTATCCAATAAGAGTGGAAACATGGTTGAGCTAACACTCTTATCAGAGTAAATAGTATTGAGATAGATTATGATGTTTTGCATCGTGAGGTATATAAATCTGGTTATTATCTGATTTTGAATTAATTTGTTTTAAAAATGTGCAAAATTTATTTGTCATTTAAGAAAATAGATTAAAATTCAATAAAAGATTCAAAATATTGTAAATTTTCTAATTTGTAAAAATATTGTTTGTAGACGCACGGTTAAACCCGAAACTTTCTAGTTCTAGTTTTAGTTTAATAAAACTATGCACCATAGTGATATCTAGTGCTAACTAGCACTGTCATAAGAACTAACACTATACCTAGAACTAGAAACATTCGGATTTAGCCACACGTCTCTCAAGACGGCTAAACCCGAATGATTCTAGTTCTAGGTATAGTGTTAGTTCTAGTGATAGTGTTAGTGTAAAACTAGAAGTAACACTAGATCTAGAACTACAAACATTCCGATTTAGCCGCACGTCTCTCAACACGGTTAAACCCGAATGATTCTAGTTCTACGTATAGCATTAGTGCTAGTGATAGTGTCAGTGTAAAACTAGAACTAACACTAGACCTAGAACTAGAAACATTCGGGTTTAGCCGTGCGTCTTCAGACTATCTAACACTAGTCCTAGGTTTAGTGTTAGTTCTAGTTTTAGTTCAATAAAAATATGCGACATAGTGATATCTAGTGTTAACTAGCGCTACCTAGCACTGTCACATGAACTAACACTACACCTAGAACTAAAAACATTCTGATTTAGCCGTTGTTGACAGATCATAGTTATTTAAGTTGTTAAGTGTTTGCCATAAATTTTGTACCTCTTCTTTTAATTAATAATAGATTAGGATTTCTGAAGATTTACAATCCAAAAATGTTTTGAAACTAAGCTCCATGAATAATTTTCTTAACAACATACAAAAACTAATTTGTGTTGGGTTGAGTTTGGTTTTTGTTGTGTTGGGTTGGATTCTGTGGAAAAAAACCAACCCAACCCAACCCAACACAACAAAAACTAAACCCAACCTAACCCAACCCAACCCAACCTAACCCAACCCAACCCTTTTTTTTTTGGCGCAGAGGAGGAGAAAATCTTTATGACTGAGCCCCGACCGGATATAGCGCCTGGAAAATTATCCGATCGGGAGTGTGGGACTCTCCTGGCATAGGTGTTGTTTGCCAGGCCTACCGCACTAAAAACTCCCCCTCTTTTTGCTCGCATGGACCTTGGCTGTCCGGAATCGCTCGCGCATTACATCGGACAGTCTGAGACTAGATGTTAGTTTTTCTTTTTGTTCCTTCCCTTGTCTCCATTCTACCCCGGCCAACTTTATACTACGTTCGACCACTATCGCCATCCCTCGGCTCTTCCAGCGTACATGTGGACATATGATTCCTTTAACTTTTGAATTAATAATTTATAAATTCGTACCTGAATGAGAGGGCAGAAGCCCTCTCATTTGTTCCTCTTCTTCCTCCTTCATTCTCAGCTCGATGAAGTCGTCTTTCATTCTCCGGCCTGAATGAGAGGGTGAAAGCCCTCTCAGTTGTTCAACTTCTTCTACTCTTCTCCGATGGCTCGCCTATTTCTATTTCTCTTTCTTTTCCATGTTCGCTCATTGCATAGAACATAGGATCCTATTAATTTTTAACTTTATTTGTTTTTATTGCATACCTGAGACGAGGGAGCGGTTGCCCCCTCGTTGTTGGTCCTCTTCTTTGTCGTTTCTACCTACGCTCTTTCTTTTATTGGCTGGAGTCTTCTTCCTCTCCCTCTCTTCTCTTTTCCTCTACCTCCTTCTCTTTCATTATTCTGGTTAGAAGGTCCATTACTTCCTCCGCTACTTCTCTCGTTTCTATCAACAACTCGTGTATACTTTCTATTTTAATTGCTCTTCGTATTCTTATTTCTGCACTCTTTCTTAGAAGTTCGAATCGTGCACACTCAAATACCGTATGTCTAGGAGTATCTTCTACACCGCATCCGTACCAGCATTCACTTGTTGTTTTTTTCTTTATTTCTGTTAGGTACTTCCCGAAAATACCATGGCCCAAAATTGCTTGGGTTGCATAATAATTTGTATTAAGTCCCTGCTTTTGCCATCTTTTCACGTCCTTGATGAAATGCTTCGCCCATCCTTGGTACTTATCCCACCTCTCCTGCCATCGTCGATACATCTCTTCTCTGTTTGTATTCATCGTCTCCTCTCGACTTTCTTCAATCGGCTTATCCTTATTTCGCCAGTTCCTAGATCTTTCCTGGACAAGAAGATCCAAAGGGGGGTTTCCCGCCAGCGCTCCCACTGCTTCAGTCGACACTGTTCTGTATGCTGCCGTTATACTTACAGATATTTTTCTTTCTACAGATCTCTTTGCCTCACCTGGTCCCCCAACTCGTGGCATAATCCTGGAGAGCATATTTTGAATTCTTGACGCCTTTTCTACTATTTTTTTAATATGGGTTGTCATTCGTAAATCTTTATCCATATATACACCAAGATACTTCACAGAACTGCTACTTTTTATTATTTTGTTGTCCACCCGCAATTCTATCTCTGGCATAGTTCTTCTGCCTTCTAACACTACTATTTCTGTCTTTTCGGTTGCCAACGCTAAACCCATCTGACAAAGAGTCTCTGCAATTTCATTTAAACAGAGTTCTGCTTTATCCATGATTCTTTGTTTGGTCGATTCCTGTACAAGAATCGCGAGATCGTCTGCGTAAGAACCCAACCCAACCCAACCCAATCTTAATCTTTCTTAACCAACCTTAATTTAATAGAAGACCTGAGATCCAATAATATTGATGGAAAGTTGGAATAGCATATAGTTTTTTTATGCTAGAATTCTTTAGAACTCCTTGAAAATTATTTTATTCTGTTATCGAAAAAATTTGTTGAGGTCCTAATACTTCAACTTGCTTGTTTTGATCGTGCCTAATGATATGGACTTTCAAAATATAATATTAATCAAAGAGAGATGTTTTGGCAATTTGGATTTCAAAATGTTGATATTAAAGTGTGGGCGATTGGAAAAGTTTCTGATCGATAATGATTAGAATATAACTGCAATCCTGCTCAAGAGGAAAAGATTCAACAAAGTTTATGACAACATCTTCAAATTTTGATATACATAAATAAAATTTTTTAAGTGGTTTGATGTTTGAAATTTGACATTAAACTTATTTCTGACCAAAACTTTCTAATGAAAAGATATGTTTATTAAACCTTTCCTAAATTGCTTGAAAATTCTTCTCATCATGATCAGCAACAAGATGAATTTGATGATTACGATTATATTCAAATGAAAAATGAAGTTGACAATATGTTATTGCTGAACGATGAGATAAGACAATATTCAAAGAAACTCCTTTGCTTCCGGAGATGGTGCGTTTCCGAGTATATAAAATGTTATCATTATGACACATTGAAATTATTTTTATATTGTAATCTTAATTCCATAAAATTTACATTCTTGGCAAAAATCTTTTTGACGAAACCTCAAAGAAAGCTTTTAATGAACTACAAAACGCTGTCAATTGAAAATCTTAATGGATTTTAATTGTTATTAACTCAAATTTAAATTAAACATTTAATATAAAAAAATCATGCATTTTATTGGTTATAATAAAACTTAAAAAAAAAACGATATGGGTAGTTTGCATCTATATTAATATTGAGATATACCTCAACTTTTATTACAGCAATTTTAGAGTTTTTTTCTTATATTTGAATATTATTATCATATTACACTAGTATAAAAACACCCTTTTCTGCCTGTATTTTTGTATCGATGTGGGCGTATAGGGGCAGAATATTTAAATTATACGTTTTCCAACAAACGTTTTTGCTAGTTGGAAAATTTGCTAACCAAGTTCATTCATAAAAAATGATTTATTATCTGAAAGGAAACCGCAAACCAACACTACTTATTAGCCACCGCGATGTTATCAAAGATTACCTCATTTTACAACTTGGAAAAGCCACCGAAACGCGGTTAGTAACACTTCTTCCTGTAGGTGGCCAACAGGAAACGGAATAAGAGAAGAAATTCTTTTAATTATTCGTTAGTTTTTTTAGAGACCTTGCGGGTGTAGCATTTAAAAAGTTTTGTTATGGCTAAATATTATAAATCGTATTATTTTTGGAAACGGAATAATCCAATTAATGGTAATAAGATTAACATTTTTTTATATTAGTTTTTTTATAATTTTTTATAGGTAATGGAAATGATCGTTCATCGCCTCATCCATTTCAAGCAGCAAGATTTTTATGGAGCCCACCTTTATTACCAGGTGGTCCACGATATTTAACATCTTTAGTTCATCATAGTCAAGAATTAACTGAAAATTCCGCCGTCGGTGAGTAATCGCAATCAGAAGTATTAAGTAACTTACTAAGCTTAATCTATTAAGAAATACAATTAAATCAACGTTATATGGGATGTGGGGAAGATGCACCGTGGTTGCTCAAGTGAATAATTATTTTCGATTACCGCAGCGGTAGTGTTTCAAAAGGGACCACACATGAAGAGATGGTCTTGTTAAATTGACGTCACTTCCGAACGTTTTTAATACAAAATTTGATACAAATAAAAACGTGTTGTTGACGTTAATTTAATAAAGTTATCTCTATCAGAAAATATAAAATATATAACTTAATCGAGTTGAGCAATCACGAATCTTTATTGCACTGGCACATGATGTGATTTTGTGATTTATCGGGTACCATAAAAGACCATATTCACTAAATATTGACATTCTTCGATAATAATTCTAGATGTTACCGCAGTGCCAATAAAATCGTAAAAAGAAATTGCTTTAGCTTTATCCAGCCCGCTTTCATTTCGCTTTTGATATGAGGTCAATGACGACTTAAAAAAAAATTAATTATTAAATCAAATCGTAAATCAATAAAAATTCACCTCCTAATCTCGACGCTTTCGTTTCGAATCTTTATTACAACAACACGTGGCCCTGATTTGTTCAATCATAGGTGTAATAAACGAATTGATCGAGTCCGGGCGGTTATCTTAATCCCGGGTCCAAGATAAGAGACTTTCGTAGAAGAAATGCACACCAACTTTTTGATTACCGAAAATTTGTTTTTCAAAACGACTCAGGATTTTTCTGTTAAAAATCAACAATCGAAATGTGTGTGCAGTCGCAAGTGATTTACAATCCGTGTGTGGTAATTCATCATTCCAATGTCGATACCACAAATCCCTGCATTATCAGCCGCTTTTATCATAGCCGCTATCTGCCAGAACGTCTGGTAACTAATCCCATGTTACACATTAAACCAGTTATCTCGCTCTCTCTCTTACACACGCGGTTTTAACGTTCTTATTAAAACGAAGTTTACAGCTGATATAACACATCGAAAATTCTTTATTGTTGAAAAAAATATATATAACGATTATTTCTCCAATAAATCAAGTTGACTTCGAATATATATACATGTATATTTAGGATTTTTGCAACCGTTTTTTTACCTCATTTAAATAAACATAAAGTACCTGCAAACTGATTTGGTTATCGTTTCAAAATAGCGTTAAGTCCATCAGCGGAATAACGTTAGTTTTTTTCTAATGGACTTTTCCACCAGTACATCCTGTACCATGTTCTGTTAATCGTTGATACATTTAAACTATTTTCTATCTATTTTGTCCTGTTTTACAAAATAAAACTTTAAATCGTGTACTCGTACTGATTATTTTTGTTACTTTTAATTATATCTTCGTTATTTCTCTTCTACATAAATCAACAATTTCATATAACTCGTATGCAATAACCGTAGTTACAAAACTAAGGCTAAACTCAAGATGGCTAAACCCGAATGATTCTTGTATTAGTTCTAGTGACAGTGTTAGTGCAAAACTAGAACCAACACTAGACCTAGATATAGAAACATTCAGATTTAGCCGCACGTCTCTCAAGACGGCTAAACCCGAATGATTCTAGTTCTAGGTCTTGTGTTAGTTCTAGTGATAGTGCTAGTGCAAAACTAGAACTAACACTAGACCTAAAACTAGAAAGTTTCGGGTTTATATATCATTTAATCGTTTTTACATTAAGCTTAACTTCTCGATTTTTTTCTAAATAATTTTTGTAATCTAACCTAATGTGTGTTATACACCATTTTAAAGAAGAATCTTTCATCTTCCACATGATATAAAGATTATTTCTTCATTTTCATAAATAACCCTTCCAGGAGATTTTTAAGTTTAGATGTCATTTAATCGTTTTTACATTAAGCTTAACTTCTCGATTTTTTTCTAAGTAATTTTTATAATCTAACCTAATGTGTGTTATACACCATTTTAAAGAAGAATCCTTCATCTTCCACGTGATATAAAGATTATTTCTTCATTTTCATAAATAACCCTTCCAGGAGATTTTTAAGTTTAGATGTCATTTAATCGTTTTTACATTAAGCTTAACTTCTCGATTTTTTTATAACTAATTTTTATAATCTAACCTAATATGTGTTATACACCATTTTAAAGAAGAATCCTTCATCTTCTACGTGGTATACAGATTATTTCTTCATTTTCATAAATAATCCTTCCATGAGATTTTTAAGTTTAGATGTCATTTAATCATTTTTACATTAAGCTCAACTTCTCAATTTTTTTATAATTCATTTTTATAATCTAACCTAATGTGTGTTATACACCATTTTAAAGAAGAATCCTTCATCTTCCACGTGATATAAAGATTATTTCTTCATTTTCATAAATAACCCTTCCAGGAGTTTTTTAAGTTTAGATGTCATTTAATCGTTTTTACATTAAGCTTAATTTCTCGATTTTTTTCTAAGTAATTTTTGTAATCTAACCTAATATGTGTTATACACCATTTTAAAGAGGAATCCTTCATCTTCTACGTGGTATACAGATTATTTCTTCATTTTCATAAATAACCCTTCCAGGAGATTTTTAAGTTAAAATGTCATTTAATCGTTTTTACATTAAGCTTAACTTCTCGATTTTTTTCTAAGTAATTTTCGTAATCTAACCTAATATGTGTTATACACCATTTTAAAGAGGAATCCTTCATCTTCTAGGTGGTATAAAGATTATTTCTTCATTTTCATAAATAACCCTTCTAGGAGATTTTTAAGTTTAGATGTCATTTAATCGTTTTTACATTAAGCTTAACTTCTCGATTTTTTTCCATTTTAAAGTTCTAGTGATAGTGTTAGTGTAAAACTAGAACTAACACTAGACCTAAAACTAGAAACATTNATTAAGCTTAACTTCTCGATTTTTTTCCATTTTAAAGTTCTAGTGATAGTGTTAGTGTAAAACTAGAACTAACACTAGACCTAAAACTAGAAACATTCGGGTTAAGTTTAACTGAATGAAATGTTTCTAGTTCTGGTATTAATTTTTAATGTTAGTGTTAGTCTACTTTTATTTGTTATTCAACTGTAATGTCAAATTATATTGATATGTTACATTCTATGGAAATATATTTTTGTATATTGCATCTTAAGTGAAATTCACTGTAATTTATATGAATAAAGGGTTTCGTGTTAAATTGTCCTCGGTGTGGTTCACTCTTCAAACAGAAAGACAAAAATCTATTACTGGACACTGAAAAACGATTGTCCGCGATTATGGTTCGTGGAATTCTTGAATGTTTGCGATCGCGGGCGGTGATGGTAATCTTTGTTGGGCACGGAAGTTTACGCAAACATCCACGGTTTTATTACGGTTTTCGCCCCCTCGTACCATTATAAATGCAAAACGCATGATCTAATATTCGTGCAAGCCCCTTGTAAACAATTTTTGTTTGCTTTTATAGTACTACTAGGGGAAAACAAAAAAAATTATATGGTTTATTTAAAATTTTATTCAAATAAGTAATAATAATGATAAAGTAAAATCATTAAGTAGTAAAATTAAAAAAATTATTGCTAATTAATTCTTTTATTAATTATGTACCTACGGGTGAAATAAAAAAAATTTTACACTGTCTATTACACATATGAAATTGATATACGCAATTTATTTTGAATGCGGGCATTCATTTGGAATTGTTAGAATAATGTATAATAATATTAGACCAATCAAACCACTATTATATTGATAATCAATTGCGTCGTGTCCTTCGAATGTAACGATGTCCGAAAAAAAAAAACTTTTCCGTTTGTTTACCGTCCCGAATGACAAATGACAATGAAGATCCTTACTTTGCGGAAAACGTGCACTCGTACTTTGATTATTGCACCACAAACATCACAAGATCATTAATCATTTGTCGTACAAAACGTGTTAGTTTCACATAGTTTTTGTTCCAACTATGAGGATTCATTGCGACTTTTCACATTTTTCCAGACAACAATAATAATTTTCAACAAAAAAAAATCTTTATAATAAACGTACAAAAGAAAATTATTTAAACTAAAATCATTTTCAAAATATACAAAAGAATTAAATTCAAACAGGTTATCGATAGAGTATTTTACTAATTGTAAGAGAGTTCTTTACTAAAAATGATTCAAGAAATTTAACCATGTATTATAAACAATAACTGCTTATCCTTATAACTTAACCCAACCCAACCCAATAACTGGATATTAGAATCCTAAACTAGCTTCTGCAACCAAACCCAACCCAATGCAACCCCACAACTGGATATTAGAATCATAAACTAGGTACTGTTACTCAACCCAACCCAAGTCAACCTTACGACTGCATATTAAAATCATAAACTAGGTACTGGAACCAAACACAACCCAAGCCAACCCAACGACTGCACATTAGAATCATAAACTAGGTACTGCAACCCAACCCAACCCAACAACTAGATATTTAAATCATAAACTAGGTATTGCAACCAATCATTAGATTCTGCTTCTAGTCTCTATACTGAAATTACCAACTAGATACTGGAATTATTTATAAAATCATCTGTTAGATACTGGCTTCATCCACTAGATATTGGAATCAACCACTTATACCTTAAGTCCAGAATATTTTAAGAATTACCATTTGTAGAAGGAGCTTCTAACTGATTTATGGTAGTTATGGCATAATGTTACAACATTGTTTAACAAAATGGAAACATTACTACGAATAACGAACTTTTAACTGGCAATGCTAGATTAAAATTATAAAATTAGCAAACATATTTTTCCTTATAAGCACTTCAAATTCTGCACCAAGTCCTAATAATCACAGGTTAAAATCTTAACTAACATCCAGTATCTTCCTGCGCTTTTTCTTATCGTATATTTCTGCAATCTAAATCTTCTGTTTGGCAGAAAGAGACTTTTTCATTATTTCAATATTCACATATCGAGTTTTTATCTTTAAAAAAAAATTTTAGATTAAAAAAGAGATAAGATCATA